CGGCCTCGGGTGCCGCAGGATGAGGGCCACAGCCCAGGCTCAGGGAGCGGGGGCTCGGGGGCAGGAAGGGGGGACCAGGGAAGGTTCTCAGCACGGGAAGCTGCGCTTTGCTCCTCCTCCTCGGGCACAGGTCGCTGCCGGGGGCGTCCTGGCTCCCTTGCCTGCTTGGCGCTGGTCGCTCCTTCCAGCGGGGTGTTCGCCCCGCTGGGCCCCACCGTCTTTTTCATACTGTGCTCAGAGGGTGTGTGTTCCTGAATGGATGAAGGAACAAACAAATAAATAGTTGGCTTCCTGGAGGCGGTGGCCTTTGAGTTGCCCCTTGAAGGGTAGTGTATCAGGTCCTGGCAGGAACGGCGGGGTCAAAGGAGTCAGAGCACCGTGCCAGCCATGATGGGGCTGTGTGCGGGGGCAGGGCGCGGGGCACGGGGTTCAGGGAGCTTATAGGAGAGGGTGCAGCACCTGGGCTGGCAGTGGGGGAGGGCCTGACCAGCCCCGGCCGGGTTGGGGCAGGGCCAGTTACAAGAACCCAGAAAGAGCTGTGTGCAGAGGCAGCCCACCAGGCACCGTGCCTGCAGCGGGCACAGGAGGGGCAGCGAGCACCCGACCCCCTCCTCCTCCACCTGCCAGGGCCTCCCGCTGGCCACACCCACCGGGTGACAGGGAGCCTGGTGATGCGGTCCGTGGCCCAGAGAGTGAAGAATCGTTCTGCAGGCGCGGGAGGGACAGCCAGCCCAGGTGTGGGCCCCCTGGAGGCCCAGGAAGCCCTGCGGAGGCGGGTGGCTGGAGGGGGGCCACTTTCAGGAAGCTCAGTGCAGATGGCAGGTGGAAAGGGCTTTGCCCACCTGACCGAGGTCAGGAGGTGGGGGTGCTGGATGTTGGAGCAGCCCTATGGGAGACCAGGGGAGACCGGCCGAAGGGTGCCCACTGGAGGGGCCAGCAGGGAGAGGGCCAATGTCTGGTCTCAAAGACACCCCCGCTGCCAGCTCACCGCCAGGGAGGGGTGGGGGACTCCTAGTTCCTGGATGAGACGGGCAGACGAGGACAGCCCCTGAAGTCTGAGGAGGGAGTCGGGCATGTTTGGAGCCCTGAGATCATGGGCACTCCTCACCAGACAAGTTGACAAACCTGGCTGGGCCTGGAGGCTGGACTGAAGCTCGCTGACCTCACTTGGCCCCCAGGGGAGGGCCACACCGCCCGACTGGGGTCCTCACCCATCACCCTCCCTAGCGCGGCTGCTGCCTCCCTTCAGTGAGTGCGAGCCCCCGCGGGCCAAGTTCACCGCGGTCAGCATCTCCCAGGAACAAATGTGTCCATTCCTCCGCCTGGGCGGTGGTGACCTCACCCCCAGGGGGGCCATGTGAGTCACTGGGCTGAGGGTGGAGGGCCGGCCAGCTCTCCGCAGAGGCCCGGGAGAGGGAACAGCGGAGGGTGTCAACGTTTCCACGCCGACCCGCTTCCCGCCACCACCACTTCCTGCTGTGGCCCTGTGTCCTCCTACGGAGGGAGGAGGGACAGTGGTCACTGGGCCCCTCACACATGCCCCGCGGTGCCGGGGGCTTTTGAAATGATGCTGATGTGAGCTCACACTGTCCTTCAGAAGACGGCCCGTATCCCACTCCTCGCCCCAGCCAGGAGGGGAGGGACGTTGTTTTCATTTTGGAGGGGAGAACACTGAGGCTCAGAGAGATGACACACGTAGGGACAAAGGAGTCAGATGAATCAGGAGTCTGTCCCCGTTCTCAGGGACAAGCCACCGTCACTGATGAAGATCATCAGCATTCAGGAAGCCTGAGAGCTCTCGGAGCCTCAGTTTCCTCATCTGTAAAATGGGGATAATGATACCCACCCCCTCAGGGCTGTTGTGAGGCTGAGAGAGGACCTGATGGGAGCAGGGTGGAGATGGCGGGGCAGCCCCAGCACACCCCTGGGCCACCCCGCCAGGCACTGCTATGTGACGGCTTCCGCTGCCGTCCCATCAGCCCTTGGGCCGGTGGGGAGTGAGGGCGGGGCCGTGTGCAGCTCAGGTGCGAGGCTGGACCAGAGTGATGGCCGTGGGGTGGGGGCTGCCAGGGATGCAGAAGGCGGTCGTGATGGAGAGTGTGGGAGGTGGCTCATGGGTTGGCCCTGCTGGGTGGGGCCGCTGAGTGAGCGCCTCTTTGCCCGCGGACTCACCCCAAGGGTTTCCTAAACCCTCAGACAGTCTCCCCAGCCCATCCAGCCAAGGGAGCCAGCGACACCCTGGGAGCTGAGAAAGCGGCACCCATCCTTGTGCCTCAGTTTCCCCGTCTGTAAAGTAGGGGGAGGGAAACCCTGACTCGATGCTGTTGGAAAGGCAATGGACCAGGTGGATGCAGCCAAGAGGAGGCATGAGGAAGGGGGGCCCAGGCCCTCCAGGGTTTTGGTGACGGGCCAGGAGTGTCCTCCAGGATGAGCGGGACTTGGAAGGGGCCCCCACAAGAGTCTTGAGCCTCTGGTCCTGAAATAACACTCTCCGAGATAACCTCCAGCACCAGGAGTGCCACTTGTCCCTCTCTGCCAAGTGCCTGCCGTGCCTGGTGTCTGGCACAGAGCCAGCATGGAAGGTGTGTGGGACGATGACTCCTCCCAGCGGGGTGGTGAGTGTCCCTGGTGCGGAGTCTGCCCCAGAGCCTGGGGCTGTAGGAGCCAGGAGACATGGGACAGCAGAGCCTAGAGGGCAACGTGAGGGCATGGGGCAGAGGTAAGGAAGGTTCCAGTTTGCCAGGGACGTGACAGGTCATGGGTAGAAACCTGGGGACTAAGTGAGAAGCAAGGGGTTGACAGGGAGACTGGGAGGGTCTCAGGAAGGGGCACCAGAAGAGAAAAAGGTTCCTTCAACCCCTGTTAGAGCTCTTGACCCTGTGGGGACAAAGGGGAGTGAGTGAGCAGGTGGGTGGAAGAGGGGAAATGGATGGATGGATGGACAGTCGGGGAGGGGATAAATGGAGGGGTGGTTGGAACGGAGGGAGGGACGGAGGGAGGAAGGTGAGAATGGATATGAATGGATGAATGAGTGTGCCGATGGACGGGGGATGGGGCGGGGGTGGGTAGATGTGTTGTGCAGGAGTGGATAGAGATGTGTAAGTGGAGGCTGCCTACACCCACAAAAGGCATTGAGAGAACGTCCACTCATGGGAGGACAGGCCAGATAAACCCTTGAAGGGAGACCTTGCTCCGGGTGGCACGGGGAATCGAAGGCAATATGGAAAGTGACAGGCAGCCTCTGTCGAAGGGAGAGTTTCCTCAGGTCAAAGGAGGCCCACAGTGGAATGGGCAGCTTTGAGAAGTAGTGAGTTTCCCATCGCTGGGGGTATTCAAGGGTATTCAAGCTGAGGACAGGCAGCCACTCCCCCGGAGTGCTGTGGAGGAGCTCCTGGGGTAGACAGGTCCACAGTGGTGGTGTCTGATAACAAGGAGAGAGAATTTGGGTTCCCCAGGCCATGGCCCTTGGAGAAGTCCATCTTGCTGTCAGATAAAAAGTTCTCTCCTGACTTGAGGGACAGACAGGCGTGCAGCTGCTATCCTCACTGTGAATCGGGCTGGAATCCGTGACGAAATTCCCATTCCGCACAGGCCAGGGCAGGGGGCCCAGGGACAGAGACCCGGTCAAGCCCAGCTCCACCCTCCCTGACTCTCTGTGGGCAGGTGATGCCCCTCCCTGAGCCTCTGTTTCCTCCTGGGTGAAATGGGGGCCCTGGGGACCCCTGGACAGCTGAGCGTGATGCCCAGGGCTGCAAGGCACCAGGATCTGGGTCTCCCTGCCCTCTGGGGGACTTCCTGGGGGCTGTGGGTGGGGAGAAGTGGGTTCTGTGAACACTGACCTTGAGCTGTGAGTCACTGTCCCTGGGGCTTCGCCTGGGAAGCCCCGCTGTCTGCCCTGGGCTGGGCCTGGGAGCAGCTGGCAGGGGGCGAGGGCAGGGGCTCCAGTGGGAGACTTTCTGGAAAAGCCCAGACCCAGCTAAGGCCCAGACCCCGCAACTGTTCACCCAGGCGCAACCCTCAGTCCCCCTTGCGACCCGCCTCCACACGGCGGGGCCGGCAGGCACAGGCTGCTCCAGCACAGGCTCCTAGAGCCAGGCTGTGTGGTCACGTCGCCCTCCACCACTTCCCAGGGCCCTGAGCTGGGCTGAGCGACCTCCTCGGGGCCTCGGTTTCCTCACGTGTGAAATGGGGCTGATGATAAAATCACTCCATAAGGTGGATGGGAGAATTGGATGAGAGCTCAGGGCTCTGCGAGGCCAAAGTGGTCTGGGGAATTGAGGCCGAGGAGGGGCCAGGCACACCCAGGCGAGGAGGGGTTCCAGCCAGGGCTGGAAACCCCATCTCTCCCACCCTTTGGAGAGCCTCGTGGGCCGTGTTCTCCCAGGACGCAGCCCAATTGTGTGCCTGCTGTTTTCCGTCCACCCCAGGTTTCCTCCAGGAGCGAGGGCAGACAGCCCCTCTCAGTGTCCTGGCCGGAGCTTTGGTGGGCAGGGCTGCCGGCGGCGGGTGTTGGGTTTAGGCCTCTGGGGAGATGAGGGAGGATGTGGGCCCGCCCTCGCCTCCCCGCCCACCGCCCTCCTCGCCGGCTCAGCCTCTCCCGCCCCAGGCCAGCCTCT